TGGGTCAAAATGAGGGGTCAATCGATCGCGATTGATCGTTCGGTGTTCGAAAAATCACGCGACGACACGCGTTCGAGTGGGAAAAAAAAAAAGGCTGAGGTGTTCTCCATTTTTTACTGGATAAACCGGCGGCAAGAGGTGAAATTTTCTTTTGACAAGATCAAACGGGATCTCGCACGCAAAGGAACAATGGATTCCTCTCAATCATCCATTGGTCCAGAAGGGACAGTTCTCCAGTTACCGAGTTATTCATCAAATCCACCTTTCTCTTCCTTCTGAATTATTTATCACTTTGCGTGTCCGATAAGAATCTGCCGAACGAATAATAATCGGACGATCACACCGTGATAATTATTTATCGTACGGTATATTGCGTACGCCAGTTTTTACGCGATTTCTTGAAATCTAAGGGAGATACCGATTTTTTTATAATTACCTTTTTTGTAGATCGCATCTTTTTTGATAAAAAATGTCGGTACAAAAAAATCGGTTTGTCTCTTCGATTGCGAGATATCGGGGAAAACTGGATTCGATAAAAATTCAATTTTCGTAGTTTATCATTTCGCGACTGAATTTTTATAGTTTTCCAGGAATTTTTTGAAAATTTGAAAAAAATATTACGATTTCTATTTTTTTTACTCGAGTAACCAAACAGAACCACCGATTTCACATAATTGGTAAATTAAATTCTAATGACTCGAAACGATTTTTCCTTTTCAGCCCTTTTGACTCGGAATAATATTCTATTTATAATAATAATATTTTATTCATTAACAACAATCGCTTCAATGACTCATTGAAAATTTTCTCATACGATTTTTCACCGGAATTGATCTCCATTTATCGAGAGCAGCCATTTTCCATATTCCCCACCGAGATAATATTTTATACGAAAATGAATTTCACCTGTGACCGTAAAAAAATCGTTCGTATCAGTGAAATTCATTCACAGAAAAGAATTTTTTCATTCTGCTAATGCGGGAAGTCATTCGATTTTCAAAATTAAATCGGTTTCACTGAAGTTTTACCAATATATTTACTGATAATGGGACACTGAGAGAAATATTCAATAAAAATTCAATTTCACTCAATAAAAATATTCAATAAAAATATTCAATAGAAATGTGGTTGTCGGAAATTTTACGGAACTGTCACGTAATTTTTATCTAAAGTCACGGAATTTTTCCGCGGTGTCCCGTAATTTTTATCTGAATTATCGGTGAAACATAACGATACCGTCACTTAAATTTTTCGAATCAACTCCGTAATCGGTAAAAGAACTGAAAGTTCCGTAATTTTTACTAAATATTTCTCTCCGTGGAGGGTGATAAGAGAGATTGATAAAATTCGGTAGAAATCGCTGACGAATTACGAATTTCCATGAAATTACCGCAACGACTGGTTGAGAATTGAAATATAACAGAATATTCCCGCGATTTTTTCTCCCAGAGAACCGCGACCCAATATCATAATTAGACCGGAATCAATTCTATTATTCCGCTCGATTAATTCCTGTCCGTTAATCGCCCAATTACGCCTCCGATGCTAAATCAGTCTTACGGTTAACTAAACAGGTCATACATTTTTCCGAGTACTTGTCAAAGTACTCATGCGTTATCTTAATTTTTATCTTCACTGCGGGGATAGGCTGTCCTATAACGGAATTTCCACTCGTTAAATTTATTCAGGTACTGTTTATTCTTCAATTGAAAATAAATTACGGGAGATGTAATGTTTGGTGAGGATATACAGAGGTGTAATCGCCGCAGTTTAGCTTCAGCAAATTTCGGGATATTAATTGCTCAATCAAATACTGTCTCTGTGGGATTCCCACAAATATCATTTAACCGGTAATGCAATTGACACTTGGGATTTTATTTAATAAACCCTCAAAATTCTGTAATTAAACAAACAAATATTTATTTCTATTATCATTTCTATCTGTATTCTCTCAAATTTCTTGGTTGACAATTAGGAATTAATTGGGAATTGATTAGGAATTTATTAGGAATTTATTGGGAATTAATTAGACGTTTGGCTATCAATCAATTGTCAAAATTTTGATTTTAGTTTAAAAAATCGCGTGTCAGTGAAATTATTTAAATATTCTGAGTAGTTCTGGTTAATGGAAAATCCAGTAAATCTAAATTCAGTTCTCTCATCTTTGGAAAATACTTGTGAAATGTCTTCGCAAGGGAAATTGAGTGCGAGAGATT